TTCTGGAAGGGGAAGGGGCGGTTTGCGGAGTTTTGGGTGTATGGGTCTAGGTGGTGAATATTTGAGTACTTTTTCAAACTGAAGATGATGGAAGATGATGCTCCGAGATGATGGAAGATGATGCTCCGAGATGATGGAAGATGATGCTCCGAGATGATGGAAGATGACGCTCCGAGATGATGGGAGATGATGCCCGGAGATGATGGGAGATGATGCCCGGAGATGATGGGAGATGAAGAAGATGATTGATGAAGATGATGAAGATGATGAAGATGATGCTCCAAGATGAGGGGTGATAGCACATCATGAGAGAGGATGAGGGATGGGAGGGGATGGGGGAGATGACGGGAGATGATGAAGATGATGGTGGATGATGGAGATGATGGGGGATGATGGGGGATGATGGGAGGCTGCCCGGCAAAATTTGGCCAAATCGAGCCGCGCATTTCTCAGCGCGTACGACGAGCAGCCCGATTTGGCCAAATTTTTGCCCGCAGACTGGCCGGCAAAATTTGGCCAAATCGAGCCGCGATAGTTTAAATAATTTCGGGCCTCCAGAAAGGCGCGGCTCGATTTGGCCAGATTTTGCCGGGCAGTCTGCGGGGGCAAAATTTGGCCAAATCGGGCTGCTCGTCGAACGTGATGAGAAATGCGCGGCTCGATTTGGCCAAATTTTGCCGGGCAGCCTCCGGGCAAAATTTGGCCAAATCGAGCCACGCATTTCTCATGGCATACGAAGGGCAGCCCGATTTGGCCAAATTTTGCCCGGAAGCTGCCCGGCAAAATTTGGCCAAATCGAGCCGCGATAGTTTAAAAATTTCGGGCCTTCAGAAAGGCGCGGCTCGATTTGGCCAAATTTTGCCCGGAGGCTGCCCGGCAAAATTTGGCCAAATCGAGCCGCGCATTTCTCATCGCGTTCGACGAGCAGCCCGATTTGGCCAAATTTTGCCCGCAGACTGCCCGGCAAAATCTGGCCAAATCGAGCCGCGCCTTTCTGGAGGCCCGAAATTATTTAAACTATCGCGGCTCGGTTTGGCCAAATTTTGCCGGGAAGTCTGCGGGCAAAATTTGGCCAAATCGGGCTGCTCGTCGTACGCGCTGAGAAATGCGCGGCTCGATTTGGCCAAATTTTGCCGGGCAGCCTCCGGGCAAAACTTGGCCAAATCGAGCCGCGCATTTCTCATGGCATACGAAGAGCAACCCGATTTGGCCAAATTTTGCCCGCAGGCTGCCCGGCAAAATTTGGCCAAATCGAGCCGCCATAGTTTAAATAATTTCGTTCAATTAGTTCAGTCATTTCCAAATGGGGGGGATTCCCCAGCCCCCACCCCCCCCCTTTGGAAATAAATGAATTAATTGAATTAATTGAATTAATTGAATTAATTGAATTAATTGACATAATTGAATTAATTGAATTAATTCAATTAATTCATTTATTTCCAAAGGGGAATTAATTGAATTAATTGAATTAATTGAATTAATTGAATTAATTGAATTAATTCAATTAATTCAATTATTTCCAAATGGGGGGATTCCCCAGCCCCCACCCCTCCCCCCCCTTTGGAAATAAATGAATTAATTGAATTAATTGAATTAATTGAAATAATTGAATTTCAATAATTCAATTAATTCCACCTCCCCTTTGGAAATAAATGAATTAATTGAATTAATTGAATTAATTGAATTAAATTGAATTAATTCAATTAATTCAATTAATTCAATTAATTCATTTATTTCCAAAGGGGGGGGGGGTGGGGGCTGGGGAATCCCTGAATTAATTCAATTAATTCAATTAATTCAATTAATTCAATTCATTCAATTCATTCAATTAATTCAATTAATTCAATTAATTCATTTATTTCCAAAGGGGGGGGGGGGTGGGGGCTGGGGAATCCCCCCCATTTGGAAATAAATGAATTAATTGAATTAATTGAATTAATTGAAATAATTGAATTAATTCAATTAATTCAATTAATTCCACCTCCCCTTTGGAAATAAATGAATTAATTGAATTAATTGAATTAATTCAATTAATTGAATTAATTGAATTAATTGAATTAATTCAATTAATTCAATTAATTCCACCTCCCCTTTGGAAATAAATGAATTAATTGAATTAATTGAATTGAATTAATTGAATTAATTCAATTAATTCAATTAATTCAATTAATTCATTTATTTCCAAAGGGGGGGGGTGGGGGCTGGGGAATCCCCCCCATTTGGAAATAAATGAATTACTTGAATTAATTGAAATAATTGAATTAATTCAATTAATTCAATTAATTCCACCTCCCCTTTGGAAATAAATCAATTAATTGAATTAATTGAATTAATTCAATTATTTCAATTAATTCAATTAATTCATTTATTTCCAAATGGGGGGTGGGGGCTGGGGCATCCTCCTCCCCCCAATACTAAACCACGAGCCCGGGCCTCCCCCCAATACTAAATCACGAGCCCGGGCCTCCCCCCAATACTAAATTACGAGCCCGGGCCTTCCCGCAATACTAAATCACGAGCCCGGGCCTCCCCCCAATACTAAATCACGAGCCCGGGCTAAATCACGAGCCCGGCCTCCAAATTACGAGGCCGGGCCTCCCCCCAATACTAAATCACGAGCCCGGGCCTCCCCCCAATACTAAATCACGAGCCCGGGCCTCCCCGCAATACTAATTTACGAGCCCGGAATGGTGCCCCCCCCCATTTGGAATTAATTGAATTAATTGAATTAATTGAATTAATTGAATTAATTGAATTAATTGAATTAATTGAATTAATTGAATTAATTGAATTAATTGAATTAATTGAATTAATTCAATTAATTCACCCCCCATTTGGAATTAATTGAATTAATTGAATTAATTCAATTAATTCCATTAATTCAATTAATTCCATTAATTCATTTAATTCAATTAATTCCAAAAGGGGGGGGGGGTGAATTAATTCAATTAATTCAATTATTTCCAAATGGTGCCCCCCCCCCGCCCCCAGCCCCGAGCCCCCCACCCCCCCATTTGGAATTAATTGAATTAATTGAATTAATTGAATTAATTGAATTAATTGAATTAATTGAATTAACTGAATTAATTGAATTAATTCAATTAATTCACCCCTCATTTGGAATTAATTGAATTAATTCAATTAATTCAATTAATTCCATTAATTCAATTAATTCCATTAATTCATTTAAATTCAATTAATTCCAAAAGGGGGGGGTGAATTAATTGAATTTATTCAATTAATTCAATTAATTCAACCTCCCCAAGTGTAAATAAATGAATTAATTGAATTAATTGAATTAAATTCTGTCTTGGCAACCCTACAGAACCTAAAATAGGGTCTATTTGGAAGTTGTCTCTTGTAAATAAGTATACGTTTTGGGGCCTGATTTCCTCTTTAAAACACAAGTCTCAGCTTCCAAATAGACCCTATTTAAGCTGCACACCCCCCCCCCCCCCCCCCCCCCCCCCCCCCACCCCGCGTTCAGAGTTTTCGGGTTTAGGGTTTAGGGTTACTCATACGGCCTAAGTAAGGGCTTTCAGGCTTCAGGGTGTAGCCCATCGGCACTCCAACTCAAAACATCAGCAGGTTTTACGAATCAACTGTGCGGTGCCTCGAGCCCATACCCCATACCAGGAGGGCCCCGCCCTAGTTAGTAGGGGCCATCACACAGAAATAATACCACGGCAATCTTGCCCGGTATCATAGACCGAGAAACACTGAACGCCGTCTTGCTCTGTCCCGCTCCACATCAAGCCCGCAATGCCCATCACCAAGCGGTCACCTTCCATCAGTGGCATTCGCCGCCTCGGCAACATGCGCATCAAACATGCTGCATGCAGGCCTGATGTCGGAACTGCCTAGACTGAATTGCAGCTGGTCACAGTTCATGCACACAGGGAACGATGGTTTTGCACTGGTCCATCTTGTCAATCTGCAAGTACCACATTCTGCCTCCGGACCGCCGACACGTTTCCATGTGTCGTTCGACAGCAAGCCGCTGGGCTCCCCGTAGAGTTATAAGGACCCTGCATTGGGTTATAAGAATCCTGACTTAGGCTAGAAGTTCCTTAGCTATAGTCAGTTTAAGAAGGGGCCCCCCTCCTTGTAGTGAAAGCGCTGGGACATGAAACCCTTGCTAACTTCGTCACGCTGTTGCGGCGACAGTTCGTGTGGAAAAAAACCATTCTAACCCCCCCCAAAACCCAAAACCCAAAACCCAAAACCCCAGACCCCTAAACCCTAAAGCTTAAACCCCGAAAACAGAGATTCCTCCTTCAGGGTATAGGACTGTGACTCCGAGGTCCCACAGTCGAGTTCATGATCGAATAGAGCTTGGGAACAAAACCTAAACACTGAATTTTAGGCTTAGGGGCTTAGGGGTCAGGGGTTTGGGTTAAGGGTTTAGGTTTTGAGGAACACTGCACCGGAGAAGCACCACATGAAGTGAGGAAGCTGTCGCAAGGACAACGCACATGCACCACTTGGTACGCATACACACACTCCCAAGCAGCTTCCACGCAGCAGAGGAGTGGCCCGACAACCATCCCCCTCCCCAACAAAAAAAAAGAAACAGACATATTGAACAAGTCGAACCTTTAAACTCATCAACCGGAAGGCATACCCAGGGTAACCCTGAACCGTTGTGAAAAAGAGTGCGAACAGTTAACGTACGCTGCATTTCTCATATTTGTGTACATATAGTTTTATATATATAAAATTATATATATATATATAGAAGGATAAACAGGGCTGGATTCTGCACATGTTGTATTGGTATCCCCAACAGGACACCCACTCTCTTCAAAGTGCTAAGGGAAGCCCTACACTTCCTTCATACGGAAAAAGAAGCCAAATAAATCGCGCTATTGGACCCAAGAGTACCCCAAACAGAAGGTTTCGTTTTAAAGGAGTATACCTGAATAAGGAAACCTAACCACCCAAAAGGGAATAAGGGCCTAGTACATGTGTTGCTCTAGGTTCAACCCAACATGGCGAACCTCCCGCTCTGCGGAATGTCTCTGCGCTTCCACCTGCAATGAATGAACCCTACACCCTAAGCCCTAAACCCTAAACCCGAATTTCGGCCTCAGGGGGCTTTGAGATGACAACAAGGAACCTTGAATTGCAAAATGCTTTAGGGAAGACGAGTTTAGGGATTAGGGTTTAGGGTTTAGGGTTTAGGGCCTCATGGAGGCTCAGAACCTCCACGCCTTCCCCAGCACCGGACAAGCGTGGGTCAAGAAGCTCTTTGGAGGGAACAGAGGAATCGCTTCCTGGTTCTTAGTAGGGTCTAGGGTTTAGGGTTTAGGGTTACTCTAACCCCACCCCAAAACCCAAAACCCTAAACCCATTGAAGGGCTTGCATAGCGTACCCCAATTCCCCTCATGTCCCATCTGAAGAACCAGTACCTGGGAGTCTTTTTACCTACTACAGTGTTGTGGGCTCTACCTACTACTTGAGGTAGATACTAAACTGTCCCTAAAACCTAAAACCTGAACCCTAAACCAAACCCTACATAGAATCCCAGGGAAGATATAGGAAGCCCTGCGGGGCTTTCAAGGGTTTAGGGTTTAGGGTTTAGGGTTTAGGGTTTAGGGTTTAGGGTTTGGGGTGTTGGGCTTAAGGTCGACCTTTCGAGTGCCTATCGTTTGTTGTAGGGCGATCTGAGCATCCTGCGTCAGGGGTTGGATCCTTTATGAGGGTCTAGGGTTTGGGGCTTAGGGTATCCTCAAGGGCTTGGATCCTTTATGAGGGTCTAGGGTGTGGGGTATCCTCAAGGGGTTGGATCCTTTTAGGGCTTAATTAGAGTTTAGGGTTCAGGGTTTGGTCCTCAGTAGAAAAAGAGGACGAGGTGGTTCCCTATTCCCTAGACCATAAAACCCCCTGCAAGATCTGGGCTAGAAAGACAGAGGTCGACGAAGTTCCCTATAGCCAAAGTAGACCCTGAAAAGCCAAACCCTATTTAATCATTTAAGGGTGTGGGGGAATGTTGTCTTGTTTACTAACAGTCCTTCGTCGGGATTCTCATAGGGCAGTTACTAGCGGCACTGTTAATATAATTAAGGGGGAACATCCCTAAACCCGAAACCCGAAAACCCGAAACCCGAAACCCTAAACCCTAAACCCTAAACCCTACGATAAGGGGCAGAAGGCAAGGCGGCCTGCATTGCCGCCGCACTGGCTTTCTCATGATCGGCCTGCAGGACCTGCGGTGGGATGGTTACTAAGTAGTTCATGGATGGGATAATGTTTTTTTAAATTCAAAATGCTTTTTTGCTTATTGGGTTTAAGTACCGTTAAAAATGTAAAATGTTACCCAACTATGACGCTTGAAGTTAATGTGCGGGGCAGACCTTTGAGGGTTTTTACGGCTTAGGGTTTGGGGTTTAGGGTTTGGGGTTTAGAGTCACTTGGGGATTTAGGGTCTTACTTCTAGGGTAACCTGCGCACTTAGAGGAACCCCAGGGGGTAGGCCCTTAGGGCTTTCAAAAGAAAGAAGAGCAACAAAAGTATGCTCCGATTTTGGAACTCGTGGGCTAGTTCATTTAGGGTTTAGGGTTTAGGGTTATAGGGTTTAGGGTTTAGGGTTTAGGGTTTAGGGTTTAGGGTTTAGGGTTTAGGGTTTAGGGTTTAGGGATAAGGGCGGAATTGTTGTTGCTTTGTTGGTGCCCTGCAGCTTGGGGGAATTGTTTCCGCGGGCTTTTTGGGAGTCGAGGGCTCTCCCCAAACGCTAAACGACATAAACCCTAAACCCCAAACCGGCCCTAAACCCTAAACCCTAAACCCTAAACCCTAAACCCTGCACCCTAAACCCTAAACCCTAAACCCTAAAACTTAAACCTTACTTAGGAGTCTGTGGGTGTGGAAATCTGTGTCTTCTCTTTTTTTTGGGGGTGGGCGGGGGTGGGGGAAGGAGGGGTGGGGCGGGCTCCCCGCCTGCCGCGCGGCGGCGTGCTCGCGCTCCTTCGCCTGACATCTTTTGTTTTTTTTGAGTTCCAAGTTGGAGTTTAGGGCTTAGGGTTTAGGATTTAGGGTTTTAGGGTTTAGGGTTTAGGGTTTAGGATTTAGGGTTTAGGGTTTAGGATTTAGGGTTTAGGGTTTAGGATTTAGGGTTCAGGGTTTAGGGTTTAGGGTTTAGGGTTGAGGGCTAGGCCTGACATCTTTTGCTTTTTTTTGGGCTCCGAGTTGGAGTTTAGGGTTTAGGGTTTAGGGTTTAGGAGTTAGGGTTTAGGGTTTAGGGTTTAGGATTTAGGGTTTGGGCTAGGGGTTCGAGGTTCGGAGTCTGCGGGCCTCGGGCCTCAAAGTGAGCCTCAACCCCTAGCCCATAATGATCGGTCACTTCTCTAAGTTGGTGCCCCTTTTGGGGTTACCATGATACAAGGCGCCCCCGAATATTTAGGGTACAGTACCCAAAAAGGGACCATAATTTTGAGAACCGAATGTTTAGGGTACCCAAAAAGGGACCATCATTTTGAGAACTGACCAGATGTAGTCTCTGCAAAGGGTCGACCTTCATTACTCGGCAGTGCTCTTGTTGTGCTGTAGAGCACACACAGAGACTCTAGCCCTTTCAAAAGCCTAGGCCCCAAACTCTTCAAACCCCACACTGCAACCACACCTCCAGAGCTGCCGTGGTGTTGCTCTGGTGCTCTTGCCGGAGAGCCTGAGGAAAGTTCTGGGGCTTAGGGTGCAGGATTGGAGTTATTGTCTTTTTTGAATGCCCTTGAGACGACGATGCAAGCATCTAGGGGTTTAGGGCCCCGAATCCCCTTAACCCAAAGGGTGTAGCCTTATGGGGGACCTAGGATTCAACATTCTGAAAACGAGGGCTACAACCCGCTTTCGGCATGCTAGTGCTGATGCCCCCTATAGGCCACAGCCTCAACCCTGAACTGCGTTGCCCTTTGATATCAAACCCTTGGAAAAATCTAAAGTAGGGTCCTTAAACCCTACCCTAACCCCTAGACCCTAAACCCTAAACCCTAAATCCTATGCCACAAACGAGGAAAATGGACAACAAAATCGGGTCGAAATGCTAAGGTCTACGACTTTTGGGAGCCTCAGGGTACAGGCTAGAGGGCCCGAAGCCCTATAAACCCTAAACCCTGAGCCTTAAACTCCAAAAGAAAATCTGAGGAACGTAGCCGTCGAAAGCCTCTGGACACATCCTGTTTAAGCCCAAGAGGACCGAGGATTCAACAATCCAAGTGCCTAGGAATTTAGAGCTTTCGGGTTCGGGGGTTCGGGGTTTATAGGGAACCTTGAACCAAAAAAAGGAGAAAAAAAAAAAAAAAAAAAACAGACCCCCTGCGCTTTTTTGAGGACTGGGGGGGGGGGGGGGGGGGGGGCCGAGGCCTCTTGTGCAGCTGCATGCTCCTGCTCTTTCGCCTGACAGCGGGTGCACGTACATGAACCGCTCTGAAGGCACGTGGGAAGCCCCCACTCAAACACCTTAAAACTCTAAACCCTGAACCCCAAACCCCAAACTCCAAACCCGAAAACCCCTAACCCTTAAACCCCAAGCCTCTGCTAAACCCTAAACCCTAAACCCTAAACCCTAAACCCTAAACCCTAAACCCTAAGACCCCTAGACCCCTAGACCACTAAACCCCTAAACCCCTAACCCTAAAACTAACCCCTAACCCTAAACCCTAAACCCTAAACCTTAAACCCCTAAACCCTTAAACCCCTAAACCCTTAAACCCCTAAACCCTAAACCTTAAACCCCTAAAACCCTTAAACCCCTAAACCCTTAAACCCCTAAACCCTAAACCTTAAACCCCTAAAACCCCTAAACCCTTAAACCCTTAAACCCCTAAACCCTAAACCTTAAACCCCTAAAACCCCTAAACCCTTAAACCCTTAAACCCCTAAACCCTAAACCTTAAACCCCTAAACCCTAAACCCCTAAACCCCTAAAACCCCTAAACCCCAAAACCCCTAAACCCTTAAACCCCTAAACCCCTTGAACCTTAAACAGCTAGCTGGACTCTGGCACCTCCAACGCCGTCGCCAAGCGGACCTGCCGGCTGAAAGGAGCCCTTGCTTCAGGGGTTCAGGGTTTAGGGTTTAGGGTTTAGGGTTTAGGGTTTCGGGTTTGGGGTTTGGGGTTTGGGGTTTAGGGTTTGGGGTTTGGGGTTTGGGGTTTGGGGTTTGGGGTTTAGGGTTTAGGGTTTGGGGTTTAGGGTTTGGGGTGTAGGGTTTCGGGTTTGGGGTTTGGGGTGTAGGGTTGAGGGTTTGGGGTTTAGGGTTTAGGGTTCAGGGTTTACTTTATGGCTTACAGGGTTCAGGCTTCAGGGTTTGGGGTTGAAGGCTTCCAGGGTTTAGGGTTTAGGGTCTAAAGCTTATTAGCTCCTATAGGGGTTCAGGGTCTTATGGGGTTCGAGGCTAGAGTCTGTACCAGTTCATGGTTGGGATAGTATTAAAAATTTAAGTTTCTATTCCTTGTTGAGCTTAAGTACCCTTAAAACGTGAAAGCTGTAACCCCACTATGACAAAGTGCAGGGCCTAGGATGCTCCAAGAAAGTGGAGTGGAGGCCTCATGCCATGAAGCCTGATACGCCTACCCTAAACCCTAAACCCTAAACCCTAAACCCTAAACCCTAAACCCTAAACCCTAAACCCTAAACCCTAACCGCCCTCCAGCAGCGCCCTAAACCTTAACTTGGCTGCACTTAGGAGGGTAGCTAAAAATTGAAAAACTTTAGCTGTCTTATTAAGAAGCCCAATAAACCCAAAAAAGGTAAGGATCTAAAGTTACGGGAAAGTACCGCAAAGTTGAGGGTTTCGGGTTTGGGCTTAGGCTTTAGGGTTACCCATCAAACTCAGCTTACTTCTCCAATGACCAAGAAAAGGCTGAAACTTTACGATTCGTCCTGAAGAAGAAAGCCCAAAAAAGTGCAAAGTTCAATGGCTTCGGAAGCCCAAAACGGCCCAAAAGCCGAAATCCTATACTCTCTTTGTTGCCAACCTCGTGCAATGCCGCAGTCTCCCTCTCAGTGGCCTTCATCAAGCAACGGGGTTTAGGGTTTAGAGGGTTTAGGTTTTGGGGTTTAGGGTTTAGGGTTTAGGGTTTAGGGTTTAGGGTTTAGGGTTTAGGGTTTAGGGTTTAGGGGGGTGCCTTGAGCAAATCGGTAGGACGACGTGCGCTGAGGCCTAGGGAAACGCACAGTAAAGTCCAGAAACTTGGAACATGGTCTAAGGATGACTGGATCTGGGGACTTGAGTATACCTTGTGGGGGTATGGGGATAAAGAATGTTCCAACTGTTCGGAGCTTGCCCTAAACTCTAAACCCCAAAGCCTGAACCCTAAAGCCTAAACCCTAAACCCAAATTAGAGCCTAAACCCTTGTCTCCCCCCCTCCGCTTGTGCCAAGTTGAGCGTCTCCCCGAGCTAGGCTTGCATGTCCCTAAACCCTGAAATCTGAATCCTAAACCCTAAACCCTAAACCCGGGTTTAGGATTTAGGGTATTTAGGGCTTGTGCACCCAAAGTTGGGGCGGCACCTCAACATTCACCCCTAAACCCCTAAACCCCTAATTAAACCCGAAACCCCTAAACCCTAAGCCCTGTTCCCCTGGGGCTGCACACACATCCCCTTTTCAGGATCACGGGGGGACTTGTTCAGGATCCGGGGGGATAAGGGGGGTTTAGGGCTCAGGCCTCAGGGTTCAGGGTTTACGATTGAGGGTTTTCGGTTTCGGGTTTAGGGCTTCGGGTTTAGGGAGCTTAAGGTTCAGGGTTTACTACCCTTAGAACCTTAAAACAAAACATTTAAACCTCTTGGGCTTCATATAAACAAAACTAATTTAGGGTTTCCCCGGAGTAGGGTTCTCTAAGGTTTGGGACTCTCAGCGCTGGGCTATTAAGGTTTTGGGGGGGCGGTGTCTGCAGGGATTTACAACGGCGTGCCCACCTCCTGTTAGGGTTTGGGGTCCAGCGTTCAGGGTTCAGGGTTCAGGGTTCAGGGTTTAGGGTTTAGGGTTTAGGGTTTAGGGTTTCGGGTTTCGGGTCTCGGGGTTTGACAGGCTGCTTTGGGGCTCCGCAAAGTCTTTTTAAAAGGAGTGTGCCAGGCCGTTGTCGGGATTCTTAGAACGGTTGTTGAGGTCGATGTTGCTGTCATATGCTGGCTGAAGCAGAACCATCTCTAAGGTACCCAGAAAATGGCCCAGATGCAGGGGGCTGGGGAGGGGGGGGGGTGTCGGGTTTATATAGGGCTTGGAAAACAAACCCGACATGAAGGCCCAAAACCATGGGTTTAGGGTTTTAGGGTTTAGGGTGTTCGGGTTTAGGGTTTAGGGTTTTAGGGTGTAGTTTTGGCTGTATGTTCTTGGGGAGGACAACCCAGCCTCCTGGTTGGCGCGATGCCGCTCCTCGTGATCCTAGCCAGTGCATGGTCTGATCATACACCCTAGGGTTGAGGATTCTGGGTTTAGGGTTTAGGGTTTAGGGTTTAGGGTTCAGGGTTTTAGGGTTCTTCAGGGAGGGCGGTTCAGAGGGTGGGGGGGTATGTAACCCAAGGTTCCGTACAATACCCCCACTACTCCCTAAGGTTTTTCTAGGCATCTACCCGCCCTGCACCCCCCCCCCCTTCCCTTAAGGACCCTATAGCTAAGCCCTTCCCTAGGTATCTACCCGCCTTAACCCCCCCCCCCCCTCCCTCAAGGACCGTATAGCTAGGCCCTGCACATAACTACGGCCAAGGGACGGATCCTTGCAACCCAATTGAGGGTCCGTAGAACTCTACTTTTGGGCCGCCCCAAACCGTAAACACTGATAGGCATGATCTCAGCATGGAACACGTAAGCGCTGATAGGCATGATCTCAGGGTGGAACCTGCGAATGACCTGAGCCGGCCAGGAGGAAAATCCCCATGCATCTTGTCTGATGCAAGATCCTGCTGAGGAAACCCTCATCTCCTTCCCGCGCTCAGCAAAGGACTTAGGACCAGTCAGTGGGCTTTTGAACAGCTTCGTGGTCAACTCATTCACCGTGTGCTTCTGCTTGGCATTCCATGGCGTTCCCGCAGCCAGCATCAGCATTTCCGCATCCATTGCAGGTGTGCATCTCTTCATTGTCCTCGCTTTAGTTATTCCTTTTCTGGGATGGCCCCTTAAACCCTCTGAACAATATTCCTAAATATATGATCCTATGAAACCCCAATAAGGGTAAGTATATAAAATACCAAGGGCCTACCTAGCTTTCTTGGTGCTCACAAGCGTTGCGATGTGAGTGCTAAGGCTTCAGCTGGAGAATGGGGGGGTCGAGAAGTTCAGCCCTTCAGCCCAACCTGCTGTCGTAGCTTCCTTCGTTCACTTTTGTCTGCTGGAGTTCAGGGCTTAAAGTTTAGGGTCTTTAGGGTTTAGGGTTTAGAGTGTATAGGGCTTACGGGACCTGGCTGCCCAATTATCTGCCTGCCTGGGGGGGAGGGAGGGAGGGTTCATATACCCTATGTTTTCGGGTGGTTGTGACCCGCAAACCCTCAGTAGGCCCTAAACCCGTAACCCAGAAATGCAGAGGCCTCTGACACTTAAAAAGCCCCCCTGGGCTGAAGTCTGGAAATCTTGGAACGTCGGGGTTTCCAGCCTCCTCGTGGGGACCCCTTAGATACCCATAAAACCGAAGGGCCCCCTTGCTTCGGAGACCATATTAAGAGACCATGTATCTACCCTTAGAGGTCCTTAACCACAAGCTGGCTATTGAAGCCTGAACTACCTCGCAAAAGCATTGTCAAATGTGGTTTGCAAAGGGGGCCCGCATCTTAACAAAAGCTTAGACCTTAGTGCTTTTTTGTTATGAAACGAAACCAAACAATGTGAAGTATCTGTGCGAGCAACACACAATTTGCTGACACATCTTTTTGGCTTGTGATAAGCCCTAAAGCCTATAAACCCTATAAACCCTCTAAAACCTTTGAACCCTATAAACCCTAGAAACTATAGGCCCTATCAAACCCATAAACGGTATAAGCCCTAAGCCCTGAATGCGAAAAAACATTGAAATTGAGGCTTGGATCCGAAAATAGACCAAGAAGTCGAGAGAACGCCTTCAGCGCGGCAGCGTGTCTGTCCTGCTGTGCCTGCAGACAGGACTGCTTTGAGATCAGGGTTCAGGGTTTTGGGTTTAGGGTTCAGGGTAAATCCTAAACGCTAAACCCCTAAACCCCAAACCCTAATGCCTTACAACTTCATGGGGGCCCCTCCTTGAACTAAGATCTGAAGAAAAGGAGCGCACCTCCAGTTTTGCTGCAGTGGCTTTGTCGTGGCTCTCCTGCATGGCCTGCAGGATTCAGGGTTTTGGGATTTAGGGTTTAGGGTTAAGGGTTTAGGGTAATTCTCTCTGCTCGTCGTAAAAGCAGAATAAGAAGCATCCAGGGTTTAGGGCTTAGGGTTTGTATACCGTTTAGGGTTTGGGCAAGTCTTCGTGTCTGGTGCTCTTCTGCGTGTGAGCTCAAACCCTAAACCCTAAACCCTAAACCCTAAACCCTAAACCCTAAACCCTAAACCCTAAACCCTGAACGCGTGCAGGTTGTATGGACGGGCTGCGGCACGCTTGAGTCGACCCTACTTCTGAGGCTTCAGGGTTTAGGGTGTACTACTATAGGGGTAGGAACACTTATACCAGTGTTGTGGCCTTATGGTCCCTATATAGTTATACCATGTGAACCCCCCCAAGACCTGATTCTCATTATTCAGGACCCCATTCTTTTGGGTGCTGCAGAGTGACAGATAGGGTCTCGGGTGTAGAGTTTAGGGTTTAGGTGTTCGGACCTCCCCTTGGAGATTCATGGGTGGGCGCCGGCGCCTGGCGGCTCGAACAAAGCCGCCCCCACGACCCTCCGCTTTTTGCCATTGCCGCAGGAAGATGATGTCGGTCCAAGCCCGCAGCTGCGCGAAGCTCGTGACGTCCTTTGCTGCAGTGTGCGGGGTGGCCCCGCTTCACCACCGCGTCAAGCGCCCCTGCGATCACCTGGAAAGCTCGAGCTGAGCTTATCTGTGCTCACCTGTGATACCACGACCTGGCCAAGTCGCTACACCCGTGCTTCCAGTCCGTATGTCCCAAAACCTAAAAGCCCAAAACCCTAAAACAAAAAACCCTAAACCCTACACCCTAAACCCTACACCCTAGACCCTAAAACCCGAAACCTTAAAACCCTAAGACCCTAAAACCCTAAAACCCTAAAACCCTACGCCCTAAACCCTAACCCTAAACCCTGTAACCCTAAACCCAAAACCCTGGGACCCTAAAGGTGAGAAGACCCTGGAAGGCCTGCTTTGCTTTCGCGTGCTCTTCGTCTTTCTCCTGAGGCTTTTAGGGTTTAGGGTTTAGGGTTTAGGGTTTAGGGTAAGACTGAGAGCTCCCTCAATAGGAAATATACGTTCTGGAAATGTATACTTGGGATCTTTCCATGGTGGATGCTCCGCAACGAAGGGGGCGGTTGGGGTCCGGGGGAGCGGTTTCTAAGAGCTCTTCCCTAAACCCTCAACCCTAAACCACCTAGGAGCGTTTCTGGTCTTCAGCCCTCTCATGGAAGCCGGTTTTATGGAAATCTAAACCTCAAACCCTCAACCCTAAACCCCAAACCCTAAACCCTGAAGGTTGGACCCTTTGGGCCTGGGGACCCTGTTTAGAGACCCTGAAGGTTAGGGGTACGAGTCTTACTCCCCGGATGAAGCAACAGCCAAAGCCCCAAACCCTAAAGCCGGTACCCAGTTCACCCCCCAAAAGGCAAGGTGTTTCCATGTCATTCTTCTGGACCCAAGAGTAACCTGAGAATAACAAGGGTGCCCTTTTTGGTTTAAGGGGGTTTATAAGGGAACCCAAACCCTAAAACAAGAAAGAAGGGCCTACTCTGGGTCCTACAGTCTTTCTGAGTTAAGGATTTTGGGCGTAGCGGTTTAGGACAGGGAATACTCGGGCCTTAAAGTGAGGCCTATCTGGGGACTTTAAGTCCCAAGTGGAAACTAGTGTGGTACATGGACCCTCATGGTAAACACGCGAACCCTAAACCCTAAACCCTGAACTCTGTAAACTCAGGCTATGTCGGGGCGCCTTCAGCGTGGCAGCGTGCTCTTGACGCAGTGCCTGGCAGTCGTCGCTGGAAGGTCATATCAGTCATAACCCTCAATGAAATCGAGTTTGTAGTATTTGTATCCCCACAAGGAAACACCAAATGTACACCAACCAATGCTTAAAGCGACCATATATGCAATCACCAATAACAGCAATATGAAGCCTGTTTTATAGATTATCATATCCCACTACTCTGTAAGCCCTAAACACTAACCCTGAGCCCCAACTCCAAAACCCCAAAATCCAAACCCGAAACCCTAAACCCTAAATCCTTGCTCTTCGAATTGCCTAGGATGAACTTGCGGATTGAGGGAGAACAAGTAAGGGAAGTTAAGGCAATCCTAGAGTATGGGTCCAGGGTTTAGGGTGTAGGGTTCAAGGCTTGCAGCAGGGTACCATTATGGAAGTAGGTAAGAAAACACTATTTGGTATTTCTTGTCGGTGCGTACCCATAACTCGGGTCCATCTGTTTGTTGACAAGAAGTGGGGCTCCTCCAGCCTGAGAAACTTCGGCTCTCAGGGTCAGTGTTGCCACGCCACTCAAGGTTTGTTACAGGGGCTATGTTGAGCTGCGTTTTAGGGTTTAGGGTTTAGGGTTTAGGGTTTAGGGTTTAGGGTTAGGGTTTAGGGTTTAGCTTCTAGAAGCAAAAACAAGGCCTGAACTGCCGAAGGAACCCTCAACGAAACCCTGAGGCTCAGAATGCCCGAAAGGCCGCAGCTCGTGTCAACTTTCTACAAACCCTATACCCTAAACCCTATATAAGTCCTAAAGTAATACGATGTGCTACATGGAGCCTTAGAAGTAATAAGGGTTTAGGGTTTAGGCTGCCAACCGCAGCAAAAACTTACTGTTGGCTAATTAGCAGGGAATGAGGGAGCTAGGGCCCTATATATACCCTTTAAGGGAGTATATGGGGTACCTTATCCCCCCATGGCCTACTAACCAACAGTAAAAAAAGCCTGTTGCTCCGAGGCGTGCTTTTGATCCTTCTCCTTGGGAAGAGAGGAGACGCCCAGCCCCAAGCCTTCTAGGGAGCCAGGGTTTAGGGTTTAGGAATTCGGGTTTAGGGCAGTTTAGGGTTTCGGGTTCAGGGCTAACTGAAGGCGCACTTCAAACCTGCCCTAAGGATGTATCAACAACCAAAAAGTCGAAGCTGTTAGGGTAGTTTGAGGGATTTGAAGATTTTCGGATTTCGAGTTCAGGCAGAAATCAGGAACTACTAGTTACAAGGGGGCAGCCCAGTAACCATCCTACAGTAGGGGCACCATTTTTTGGGGGTTGGTTGATTCAGAACGGAACCTTGAACCCAAAAGAATGGGAAAAGGGTATACCACTGGGCTACCAAGCAGGTAGGGGTCTAGCCCGAATGGGAGGTGCGCGTTTGCCCCCGGGAGCCAGACTTCCATCGCGGCAGCGTGCTTCTTCTCTTGCGCCTGCTGCGGCTTTGGCCCTCCCTAAACCCTAAACCCTAAATCCTACACCCTAAATCCTACACCCTAAATCCGAAACCCTTTTGTTCGGCAGTTAGGAATATTGAAGCGTCAAGCCGTGCAAATGTCGAAGAGGCAAAGCAAAGTGTCATCCTGAAACCAGTTGGGAGCAGGGCGCCAGCATTGGGAGCGGAGGGTACAGGCTATGACGGGCTCACCTAAACCCCTACAAAGCCTATGTCACTAAACACTTGCACAACACTCTCGCTCCTATTGGGGTCGGAAAAGTTGTTACTAATAGTGTTTCCGATGATGCTCCCTATATAATTCTACTATAATAACCCCCGAAACCCTATTCGAAGTCTTCAGGCCCCTATATTGCCGTCTGTGGGGCCTTGCCTCCTGACAGCTGTTTTGAAGAGGGCTTGGGTTTTTGGGGCTGGTTCTGGGGTTGGGGTTCAGGGATTAGGCTTTGGGCTTTGGGGGTTTGGGTTCGGCGTTCAGGGCTGGATTTGGGTGTGTGTGCGCTCAAACCCTAAACCCTAAACCCTAAACCCTAAACCCTAAACCCTAAACCCTAAACCCTAAACCCTAAACCCTAAACCCTAACCCCTAACCCCGAAACCGTACAGGAGCTTGAGGGCTTGAGGTTCTAGCCGCGGCTCATTGCCTCCCGAAAGGCAGCGTGCTCTTGTTCCCTCTCCTGGCGGACATGGGACACGCAACCCCCAAACCCCTAAACCCCAAACCCCCGAACCCCAAACCCTAAACCCCAAACCCCTAAACCCCTATATCCCTAAACCCCTAAACCCCTAGACCCCTAAACCCCGAAACCCCTAAACCCCTAAACCCCTAACCCTAAACCCCTAAACCCCTAAACCCCTAAACCCTTAAACCCCTAAACCCCTAAACCCCTAGACCCCTAGACCCCTAAACCCCTAAGCCCCTAAGCCCCTAAGCCCCTAAGCCCCTAAGCCCCTAAGCCCCTAAGCCCCTAAGCCCCTAAGCCCCTAAGCCCCTGCACCCAAAACCCTAAACCCCTAAGCCCCTCAACCCCAAAACCTTATAAGCGGCTGCCTGACGTCTAATTTTCAGGGTCTAAGGCGGTTGTACCTGTCGGTTTGTAGACGGATCCCCCTAAGGGAATACAGAGCAACATAAGGGGTACTTGCTTAAGGGAACACTTTTGGGGTACAACCTCTACAAGCTGAAATTCTCTTGATGCTCATCTGTTGCATAAAGTGTATGCAAGCTGTCAGTGACAAGCTCTACGCAACAGTACTAGTTTAAAAACTTCGCGACAAGTGGATCGCCCCCCCATCTTACCCTACCTTCTGTGGTTCGTGGTCATGGAGTGTTTGGCATGGTTGCCCCTCTGTGCATGGTGGGTTTAGGGTTTGGGGTTAGGCTGTAGAGTTTGGGGTTTTCACTCTGCTTTCCGTGGTTCATGGTGGTTCAGAGCTTAGGGTTACTTAGGGTTCAGGGTTTAGGGTGGAGGTGGAGGTTTAGGGTTCCCCTCTCGCCCCGTAGTTCGTGGTGGGTTGTCGGTTTAGGGAGTTCCGGCTTCCGGCTTCCCTCTCGCCACCCCTGTGGTTCGCGGTGGTTTTAGGGTTAGCAGTCCGTTTGCTATTCATTCTTTTTGCGGGGGGGTGGGGGCATGGGGGGAGGGGGGGGTCGAGAACGCGGAGCGAGGCGTATCAAGGGCTATGAATGGTCGTAGTATTCATAAATAATCGAATAAGGGGTGGGGTGGGGCCTTTGAGCTACCCTCGTAAGGTTATAGGCTCAACGTGCTTCGCAGGTGCCATACTATCATGGGTTCCGCTACTACCCCCCCTAGGTTTCCCCCCTTAGTTCAGGCTATTTTGGGACAAAAAAGCCTAATTAAGGCTACTTCAGGGGGGAAAGTAGAGGGGTAGTACAGTACAGAGGGGTCGTAGGGGAACCCATGATACTATAAGGGCCCTTGGAGCACGCGCTTGCCTGTTCAGGGTCAAGCTAAGCAGCCCGAGACTCCACACAAATCCCCCAACACTACCCTAAACTCAAGGGACTAAAGGAGGGACCCTTCTGAGGGACCGTTATGAAGGGGCAGCTCAGGTATATAGGGACTGTAGAAGCTATATTCCAGGGGTTATATATGGGGGAACCGGAATCAGATTAAGGGTCCCTTCTAGGGGTCCCTCCCTAAACCCTAAACCCTAAACCCTAAACCCTAAACCCTAAACCCCTTAGCAAACCCTGACACACCCTTGGCCTGCAGGCTGGCCTCATGGCGCTCTTCCTGCGCCTGAGGGGATGCAGTCGCCCGAGGTTGAAGGGCAGACTTATGGGTTTGGGGGGGGGGGGGGGGTAGGGTTTAGGGTTTAGGGTTTGGGGTTTAGGGTTTAGGGTTTAGGGTTTAGTGTTTAGGCTTTAGGTTGAGGGTTGGGTTAGGGGCTGAGGGCTTGAGGCTAGTGTTAGGGTCATGGGTTGAGGAGTTTCGGGTTTCCGGCTTACCGAAGGAGAGCTCCATCAGCAGAGTTCGCAGGAGAGGTGCCTGATATGAAGTCGGGGGTTCTTTTTGCCAGCCCCCCCCCAAAAAAAAAAGCAGCCCATTGCTAGGATCTTTGTAGGTTCTAGGGTACAGAGATCTTTGTATATAGCCTGAACATGAACTTCCAGAACTTAGGTTTTTGAGTTTTTTTTTTGAAGGGTACGGGTACTCAGGGGTGTAGAAGACAGAAGCGGTCCTGGGAGGAAACTTGCCAGGGCCAACTCTAGGCTAAGGGCAATTAGCAGATTCAGGGCTTTGCAATGACGGGCTTCTAGTTTAGGGTTTAGGGTTTTAGGGTTTAGGGTTTAGGGTTTAGGGTTAGGGTTGGCGTTCAGGGCTTGGTTTGGGGCTTAGGGTCTGAGGTGATCGGGCTTAGGTGCTGGGTCTGGGGTCCACAGCGCGTATGTCTGCGGCATAGAGTTGAGAGCTTGCGGCTTCCAAGGTGTAGAAGCATGTGAGGATATCTCCCTATCCCAAACATACTCCTAAAACAGCACGGGAGAACGTAAAGAAGGTTACACAAATTCTTCTCACCTCGTAAACCTAAACCCCTAAATCCTATAAGATACCCCGAAAGCTTGAAAGTACAACTGTTGCTTGCAATCCTTTGCCCTCAAGCCCTGTATGGCGGGGGGGGGGGGGGGGTTCGGGTTTAGAGGTTAGGAATTTGTAGAATTAAGGTTTACAGTTGAGGGTATGGAGTTGAATGTTTAGGGGTTTCAGAGCTTAGGGGATTAGGGTTGAGGGCTTACAGCTTAACAGCCGCAACGCGCCTTCATCATCGCTGCATGCTCTTCCTCCTGCTCCTTCCATGGCCACCCTTCAAAGAAATTAAACCCTGCACAGAAAACAACAACGAACACCAAAAGCCCCAATCTCCAAAACCCTCGGACCATAAACTCTGGGATAAAGACATACTGAACGAACAAATCTTAAACACTATACATAAACCCCAAACCCCAAACCCTAAGCCCTAAACCCTAAACCCTAACCCAAGGTTGAGGGCGGGGAGGGGGTTCGGGGTTGGGGCTTCGGGGGGGGGCTTTGGGTTGTTTGTACGGCCTCTGGGCCTCGTCCCCCATGCAGTTCGTTTAGGAAAGTCGGCTCCCCCAAGCCCGAAGCCCTAGAGCCTAAACCCCAAGCCCTGCAGTTTAGGGTTTAGGGTTTAGGGTTGAGGGTTTAGGGCTTAGGGTTTAGGGTTTGGGGTAGAACCAACACCTCAACCCCCATGGCTTGGGCTTATCCATTTTGGCAGCTTCTGAGGTTTCCTAGCTTGGGGCTGTGTGTGTGTGTGTGTGTTTAGGGTTTAGGGTTTAGGGTTTTAGGCTTTGGGCTTTAGGGTTAGGGTTTCAGGTTTAGGGTTTGTGGCTCTTAGTCTTAGTGTTTAGGGCTCGGGGTTCTTGCTCATCTGTAGGGCCCTACTGGCCTGGAGCGCGGCAGTGGAGGCTGCACCATGATCTTGCTGCATGGCCTTGGGTTTACAGGAGGGTTTAGGGTTTAGGGTTTAGGTTTAGGGTTTAGGGTTTAGGGTTTAGGGTTTAGGGTTTAGGTTTTAGGGGGGCAGGCCTGAGGCTGTAGGGTTCAAGGTGTAGGGTGTGTAGTTTTTGGGGTGTTTAGGGTTTGGGGCGTGGCCTAGAGTCTAGAGTTGAGTCTAGGAAACTCTGGGTTCAATACGGACGAAATGCAAAGGGCTTAGGGTTTAGGTTTTAGGGTACTAAACTGAAGAACCTGAAGCCCCAAAACTTTGTAAAGCCGCAAACGCGAGGATAGGGGGAGGGGGGGTGAACTCATCATTAGGGAGATATTCTAAGTTAGCCTCCGTTTGGGGGGTTTAGGGTCTAGGGTTTTAGGGTTCAGGGCTTCTTGTTTAAAGAAACAGTACTATTGTGCATTTCGAAAGGCAAACTAAACCCTCATGTCTTAACCCCCTATATGCCCCATCCAAACACCTACATTCCACATCATGTCCCCTAAAAGCCCCTAAGCCCGAATTCAATAAGAGATTCAACCCTATAGCCGCAATTCCCACTAAACCCTAACCCTAAACCCTAAACCCTAAACCCTAAACCCTAAACATTAAACCCTAAACCCTAGACCCTAAAACCCTAAACCCTAAACCCTAAACCCTAAACCCTGCGTTTAGGGTTTCTCTTCTTGGAGCCCGACCAGCTGCACCGCGGCGTGCTCTTTCGCCATCTCCTGCATGTTGGGGGAAGGGGGGTTTAGGGTTTACGGTTTAGGGTTTAGGGTTTAGGGTTTAGGGGGGTTTAGGGTTGAGGGTTTAGGGAACCAGAATAGGGTTCAGGGCTTAGGATACCCTTTCGGGTCACAGGGGGATTTGAGGAGATGCCCATGTCTTTTTGAGGGCCAGGCTCTTGTTCAGAGGGTTTAGGGTTTAGGGTCTAGGGTTGGGTTTTGTTGGGTTTCAGTGGAAGAAGCCTCAAGGGTTTAGGGTTTAGGGTTTAGGGTTTAGGGTTTAGGGTTTAGGGTTTAGGGTTTAGGGTTTAGGGTTTAGGGTTTAGGGTTTAGGGTTACCCTATAAACCCTGAGCCCCTAAGCTTTGAAAGGGCCAGCTGGAAGTCCGGGGTGTTCCGGGGGCTTTTGTCCCAAACCCCCTCACACGTAAACCCTGAACCCAATGCGGGCTTGATCCTCATCCCTCGAAGGACCCTAAACCCTAAACCTTAAACCCGAAACCCTAAACCTTAAACCCTAAACCTTAAACCCAAAACCTTAAACCCTAAACCCTAAACCCGAAACCCTTCAGGGTGTTTGGAGCGCAGGGAAGCGGAGAATCGGGCCTTGAGCGCCTCCTCGTGCATCCCATCTTGGGCCTGATCAAGTTTGTGTTTGGTTTTTTAGGTTTAGGGTTCGGGGTTTAGGGTTTAGGGTTTAGGGTTTCGGGTTTAGGGTTTAGGGTGTAGGGTGTAGGGTTTAGGGTTTAGGGTTCAAGGTTTTAGGGTTTAGGGGTCTATTAGGTTTAGGGTCCAGGGTTTAGGGTTAAGAGTTAGGGTTTAGGGTTTAAGGGTTTAAGGGTATTTAGGGCTCAGAGGGTTCAGTGAGTCAGGGCTTCGGGTTTAGGGATTCAGGCACTTAAGGCAATCCTGTCGAGTATATGTTCTGCGGCTTCTGCTTCTGGGGTTCTCGGAAGTTTGTTACCTAACAGGCTTGCAGATCTGAGAAGTGTTAGGATCCTTCGATTCAGCTCTAGTGTTCAGGGTTTGTCGGGTTTTGGGATTATGGTTTGGGCTTATGATTATGGTACTTGGCGTTTCGGGTACTGTTTTTTATAGGCTTATGTGTCTCCACTAAACAACCCAGCTAAACCCCATGCACCTCAAAGGCAAACAACATTCTACACTACGCCCTAAACCCTCAATCCTAAACTCTGAACCTAAAAGCCCCAAAAACCCTGAAGCCCACCAAGGCCCCAAACGCCCCGATGCGCTGCGAACGCCCTAAACCCTCTGACCCCGAAAGCCAAACCCTGATGAGGCTCCTAGGACTCCTGTCTTTGAGCGTTTTGGGCCCAAAGACCTTAGGGTTTTAAGGTCTTTGGGACATCTTGAGCCTAAGAGAAACTTTAGTGTTTGGGGTTTTGGGGTTCAGGGTTCAAGATAACCTTGACCCTAAAACCTAGTATAACCCAAATCCCCTAGAAACCCTGAACCCGAAAACCCTTTCGGAAACCCTAAGAAAACCTTGAAGCCAGCAGGCGAAGCCTTCAAGGCTTCGGCTTTGGCGACGTCGTGCTCTTGCTGCATGACCTGCCACCCACACACTGTAAGGTTCAGGGTTCAGGGTTCAGGGTTCAGGGTTCAGGGTTCAGGGTTCAGGGTTTAGGGTTTAGGGTTTAGGGTTTAGGGTTCAGGGTTCAGGGTTCAGGGTTCAGGGTTCAGGGTTTAGGGTTTAGGGTTTAGGGTTTAGGGTTTAGGGTTTAGGGTTTAGGGCTTAGATTTAGGGTGTAGGGTTGAGGCCGTAGGAGAGCTTCCTTAGGGCTTTAGGCTTATAAGGGTTTCCAGGCTCTGTGTTTTTTTTGGGTTTTAGGGCTTTGGGAGTTTACAAATGCGCTGGGCCAGCTTCTTTAGGGCAGGCTTTGGGGTTTATGGATTGGGGGGTTTAGGATTTAGGACTTGCAGGTTCAGTGGGAAGGGGGTTGAGGCACGGGGGGGCTCGTTGCTCCCGAAGAACATCAGGAACTGCGGCTTGAAGACCACCCATCTTCTCGTACACGTCGCGCCCTTGCAGCTCCCACTTGGGAGTTGTGAACACCTTGAGTACAGCTGCTGGCGTATCGGCTCGCAGCGGTCTATATCTCCCGCAAGGCCACAGATCTGCGCGCCCCGCGCGGCGCGTGCGCGGGGGGCTTGGCGCCGACGAGTCGCAGATGCGGGAGAGCTGCGCCATGATCGACACGGAATACGACCCCAAATCGGCCGCCACGGCATTGCACAAAGAATCCTTGCCGTTCCTGCCAACCCCGCTGGTCCACAAGGCGGCAGCCCGCGTCTGGCCAAAGACGCCCTCGGGGGCTGAGATGATGGGCTCGGGGAACGGAGAAGGGACCGCAAACTTCGGTTTTTTGCCTTATAGGGCTTTAAGGTCCCCAGACCCCAAACCCCAACTCTAAACCCCTGAAACCTAAACTCAGGGTGAACCGCATATGAGAAGAATCACGGCGGGCCTCCTTCACTTCGGCGTGCGCCATCTCCTTCTCCTGCGGAGCGGATGGCCCTAAACCCTATAAACCCTAAACCCTAAACCCTATAAACCCTAAACCCTAAACCCTAAACCCCTCCAGGAAGAGACCCCGGGGAGTGGTCACTGTGTGGTCTGCAGTACGACCTGGCCTTCCGCACACTAAAGAACCCTGAAGCCCCAAACCCTTCGCCCGCAAAACACCTACTAATACCGCGACTACTATAGTGTTACTATATTCGAAACTATTTTCTATTCTTACTACTATTTTGCCGAGAATTATTGTTGCCAATACCCCAAAGGGTCCTAAGTACCTGCATAGTAGAAAGTAGGGTTTCTATAATAGGAATTACTATTATGGTTATAAGTGACCCCCATATAGGTACTTAGGATTCTTTGGGTACTATTGTACAAGCATAGGAAGAGACCGCCTGACTCTTGGGCTCATCTTAGATAAAGGCCGCCTGGATGGCTGCAGTGTGTCGCTCCTCTTGCTCCTGTCAGGGCCACGGGCCGAAGGTCTCTGTGATTCAGGGCGCCTTTCGAGAATCCACCACTGCTTAGGGTTTAGGGTTTTGGGTTGAGGGTTTAGGGTTAAGGTTCAGGGTTTAGGGTTTAGGGTTTAGGGGGTTTAGGGTTGAGGGTTTCGGGTTTAGGGGGTTTAGGGTTTAGGGTTTGGGGGTCTAAGCCAAATGCATTTAACTAGGGTGAGATTTGACTGTGTGAACATGTCGGATGGCAGCTACGCTCCTTCCTCAGCTACCACGTCAAGGGGTTCAGAGTTGAGGGTGGAGCTTCTACAGTGTACTTGGAGGTTCATGGTACTTAGCAACCCTAAACCCTAAACCCTATACCCTACCCTGAACCTCCAAGACAGGGTCTCTGGAGCTCCAAATCCCTTGGGCCCTTATCAACCTTGAAGCCCCAGTGCCCGACAAAAGGCCGACAAAAATTGCTAAAGCTTTTGGAACCCCTGAAGAACGTGAAGCCGTCCCGCCCCCAAAACCCCCGAAAACACGATAAGTGCACTAAAGCCTCCCCCCACCACAGGCCAAAAGGTTTACGATAATAAGGGGCCCCTAGTATCGACCCACCTAATAGTAGGATTCCCTTAAAATAAGGACCCCAACCAAAGAGGTACCCTTAGTTTCGGAAACCGCCCAAATAAGAAAACCTTGAAGTCAGCAGGCGAAGCCTTCAAGGCTTCGGCTTTGGCGACGTCGTGCTCTTGCTTCATGACCTGCCACCCACACACTGTAAGGTTAAGGTCTTTGGGTCATTTTGAGCCTAAGGGCATCTTCAGTGTTTCGGGTTTGGGGTTCAGGCTTTAAGATAACCTTAGCCCTAAACCCTACATTCCCCCATAAACCCTAAACCCTCAAACCCTTTCGGAAACCCCCAAATCAGAAAATTTACGATGATAAGGGACCCCTAATATAGATCCAGACCCACAAAATCGTAGGATTCCCTTGAAATAAGGACCCCAACCAATGAAGTACCCTTAGTTTCGGAAACCGCCCAAATAAGAAAACGTTGAAGTCAGCAGGCGAAGCCTTCAAGGCTTCGGCTTTGGCGACGTCGTGCTCTTGCTGCATGACCTGCAGCCCACACACTGATAAGGTTCAGGGTTTAGGAGCTTGGGGTTTAGGGTTTAGAGCTTAGGGTTTAGGGTAGCCATGCTCCTAGGTTTGGGAGTTTGGAAATCACCTCGGCAGGCCTCTTTCACCTCGGCGTGCGCCGTCTCCTTCTCCTGCAAAAGCGGAAGACTTGCAGGCCCTAAGCCCTAAACCCTAAACCCTAACCCCTAAACCCTAAACTCTAAAGAAAGCCCAGATCTCAACTTAATGAGAGTGGCCCCAGTACGACTGGGCCTTCCGTGCTGAAAACGCGAAAGCCCCAAACCCCGAAACCCAACCCTAAACCTGAACCCATAAACCCTATGAAACACTGGATCGGGCCTTCATGGCTGCGGTGTGTCGCTCTTCTTGCTCCTGCCAGGGGGGGGGGGGGGGGGGGGGGGGGGGGCAGTTTAGGGTTTAGGGTTTAGGGTATAGGGTTTAGGGTTTAGGGGCTCTTGAGCTTTCGGTCTCCAGGTCTGGAAGGGGCAGGGCTAAACTCAGACCCTATGGGCCTAAAGCGTAAGCCCGAAACTGTGAACATGTTGGACGGCCCTCCTACACCTTAAAGCCTAGGGCCTAAGCCCTACAAACCCCGCAAACCCCACTCCGTTCCTAAACCCCGAAACCCGGAACCCTAAGCCCGAACCGAAAGTCCTAGAGCCGATTGAGTCGTGGTAAGAAGGCCCTCATAGGATATCTTCTCGAATAGGTTCAACTTGCTAGAAGAAAGGAAAGAAGAATAAACCCTAAACCCTAAACCCTAAACCCTAAACCCTAAACCCTAAACCCTAAACCCTAAACCCTAAACCCTAAACCCTAAACCCTAAACCCTAAACCCTAAACCCTAAACCAGATCTACTTCAAAACACAGGCCAGTGTTGAGGGTTTAGAGCTTAGGGTCAATGTTGTACTGTTCCAGGATGGCCCTGTATACCCTCTGAAACATATTCCTAAGTAAGATCCTATTGACCCCAAGAAGGGTAAATATAAAGTATCCCTAAACCCAAAACCCTAAACCCTAAACCGCGGGCCTACCCAGTGTCAGAAGAGGCACGGAGTTTGTGCGGCTCTCGGCGCTCCAGGGCCAGAAGCGATGGTTCAAGGCTACTGGCTAAAAGCAGGGGGATTTAGGGTTTAGGGTTTAGGGTTTAGGATTTGGGGTTTAGGGTGTAGGGTTTAGGGTTTAGGGTTTAGGGTGCTTTTGATTCTAGGTCTCAGCCCACAAGCCAGTGAGCGTCTTGAAGATGTGGAGCTCTTTTTCAGCAATGAACTTCACAAACCCTCGAAGCTTGTACTTCAGCCCTATACAACCCCTATGTATATCTTGTATAGTCCCAATATGGCCCCTACATAACCCTCAATAGATAATCACGTGATGTACCCTTCAAGCCCCCGAAGTCTTAAAGCCCTAAAGCACGCAAAGCCCTCATCCCTGAAACCCCACAACTCCATGAGCCTCATATGCCTTAAAGACCTCACCCTGAAACCTACAAAGCCTACGCTCCCTAAACCCCATAAACCGTAAACCCTCATGAACCCGAAACCCGCCTAAACCCTAAACCCTCCTAAACCCTAAACCCTAACCCTAAACCCTAAACCCTAAACCCTGAACCCTTATCAACCCAGGACGTGATGCCTTCAGGGCATCCGCTCGAGCTACGTCGTGCTCTTGCTTCATGACCTGCAGGCCCCCTCCCACTTCTCGCTGACTGAGGTCTACAACACTGTAGGGTTCAGGGTTTAGGGTTTAGGGTTATAGGGTTTAGGGTTTAGGGTTTAGGGTTTAGGGTTTAGGGTTTAGGGTTTAGGGTTTAGAGCGTAGGGTGTAGGGATTAGGGTTTAGGGCCTAAGGGGCTTGAGCTTAAAGCTTTGGCTTTTGGGGCTTAGGAGTTTAGGATTGAGGGGTCTAGAGCTAGTGAACGGGCTTGAGGATGAACCTTACAGGGTCTAGGATAGACAGGGTTCTGGGGTTGAGGGTGGAAGGGTTTAGGGTTTAGGGTTTAGGGTTTAGGATTTAGGATTTAGGGTTAGGGTTTAGGCCACGCGAGGCTTATGGTCAGAATGAACGAATCACCTCCTCATCTCGCCTCTTTCACCTCTGCGTGCGCCATCTCCTTCTCCTTCGGATGGCGGACGGAAAGCGCTCAAAGTCATGAGCCATCTTCTACAGGGTCCCCCATACCTCAAGGTGTGACCGTCCATGTACCATATCATGATATATCTGCACCCCGAAGTATAGGAAGCACTTTAAGGCTCAATGCGCAAGTCCCATTTAGGTACATGCCCTTAAGCAGGTATAGGGAATGTGTTGCAAGTGCCCTGTTTGGGGGGCGAAGTGTGAGGGACCCATATGAATCTGACAATGTAACTACAAGAAGAAACCACTATCCCGCAAGTCCCGATCCCTCAAGCCCGCATGCCCTCACACCGTTTGGGGTTCATTGCGGTTTAGGGTTTAGGGTTAGGGTTTAGGGTTTAGGGTTTAGGGTTTAGGGTTTAGGGTTTAGGGTTTAGGGTTTAGGGTTTAGGGTTTTGGGTCGAGCGCTTAGGGTGATACAACCCTTACAACCCTGGAAGAGGAGGTCTGACAATGGTTTAGGGTTTAGGGTTTAGGGTTTAGGGTTTAGGGTTTAGGGTTTAGGGTTCTTGGATCGCAACCAGGCCTTGATGGCCGCAGTGTGTCGCTCTTCTTGCTCCTGCCGCTGACTTGTCAGTTGTTTCCCTACTACCCCCCCTCTCTACTACCCTCCCCCCCTAGGTTCCCCCCTTAAATAACATCAAAATAGCCTTAATTTGGGGTGAGCATGGGGGGGGGGGGGGGGGGGGGGGGGGAGGTAGCCGGGCAACCCACGGAAATTAGGGTCGTTTACTGGGAACCCCTAAACAGGGAGCCCCAAGAATATAGTAGGCATGCAATAGCAACATGCCGAACCAGGGTCCTGAAATTCTCGTTATGTTCCTTCTATACTCTTGGGGTTCCCTGTTTAGGTGTTCCCATTGGGATCCCTTCAGTGACAAACCCGAGTGCCCATACCTCGAGTCATGAAATCTTACGGCCCGCAACGCCCCAATCAAACCCTAACAAAATGTCCCAAAAACCCATGCAGCCCTAACCACCGCTTTAGGGTTTAGGGTTTAGGGCCCAACAACAGCAAAGCAATAGAAACCTAAACCCTGAAAGGCCTTGAGAGCTTCAGCTTTGGCGACATCGTGCTCTTGCTTCATCACCTGCAACCCGCATACGCTGAAAGGTTTCGGGTTTAGGGTTAAGAATTAGGGTTTAGGGTGTAGTGCTTAGTGTTTAGGGTTTGAATGATTGACCCTTCAAAGCCTCCAAGATTTCCCCTAAAGGGTTTTAGGGTTTAGGGTCGGGGCACCTATTTCCGGTCTTACTTGAAGCTTCAGGGTACTTAGCAACCCAATTGTAAGTGCAGTTATAACCCCTTTAAAGCCCCTCAAGTACTCCAATAGGGTCACAAGTGTTGAGCATTCAGGATGAGGGTGGAGAGGCTTAAGCTTACTTCCGATATCTTTGGTTTAGGGCTTTATTAACCCTGAAACCCTAAACCCGAAAACCTGAGCCCGAAACCCTAAACCCTGAACCCTAGGCCCTAAACCCTAAACCCTAAACCCTAAACCCTAAACCCTAAACCCCTAAACCCTGAACCCTATGCTTGTAAGAGGAACCCTAGGTTGCCTCTTTCGCCTCCGCGTGCGCTGTCTCCTTCTCCTGCGGATGGCGGAGGAAGACCCTCAAGCGGGGGGGTTTAGGGTTTAGGGTTTAGGGTTTAGGGTTTAGGGTTTAGGGTTTAGGGTTTAGGGTTTAGGGTTTAGGGTTTAGGGTTTGGCACCCTCCTCTCCCCCCCCCCCCTCAAAAAAAACAAAAGAGCAGCAACAACTCAGCCCCAAACCCGAAACCGTACTGCAGAGGCCATGCCCAAGCCCTGTTTGATCCCGTGTCCATGAAAAGCCCTCCAAACCCTAAACCCTCATAAGCTTAGTTGCTGAGTTCAGAAGCCCCACAAAAGTGGACACTGTCAGTTCTAGAGGGGAGTATTCCAAAAAGTGTAAAGTGCACTCAGTTCAGCTACTGAGTAAGGCGTGGAAAACAGGTCTGACTATTGTGCACGTGCACAGCTACGTAAAACGAAGCCGGGCCTGGATTGCTGCGGTGTGTCGCTCTTCTTGCTCCTGCCGGTCTGAGACAACCCCAAGCCTTATGCATCCTGTTACAATAAACCCTACACCCAAAACCATAACCCTACACCCCAAAACCCCAAACCCTAAACTCCTGCCTTGAGCGCCTCTATGCGGTTTAGGGTTTAAGGTTTCGGGTTTAGGGTTTAGGGTTTCGGGTTTAGGGTTGAGGTTCTT